AATCTAATAGTAGCTTGTTATCTGACTTTAAGCTAGTTTCTTAGTTGTTATATGCTTCAATATCTTTTATTTGTTCAGAGACAACATAATTATGATATTAACAAAATTATTATGGTTAATGCAAAATGAATCTTTTCACTTGACAGGCCCCTTTGGCTTGTGCTGTTTCACATGACTTTAACATATCTGAAGGAATTTTCTTTGTTTTATCTTTTGGAGGATCATCGTAACAAAGGAAAGAGATAATTGATATAAAATGCTTTGAAATGATACATACACATGTATATATTTTTAGAAAAGGCACTATTACCTATATTCTGATTTTTTTCCTGATACTCAATGTGTGTTTCTGAAAATGATAACCAAATAAATGAAAATAATAGGTAACAAAATAATGAAACAGATTTCATATGAATTTCTATACTTACTGAAAGGGTTTTTATACATAAACTCCTTGATATGTAAAGAATATCATATATTTTTAATGTGCATTTCCTTAAGGCTGAATTCAATACATTTTTTTCTAATGGAAACCTGAGATGAAATATAAATGTAGAATCCCATGATATTAAGTATGACATGGAGACTCTTTTTGTCTTTCCCCTTTATGCAAAAATACAGGGACCTAAATTTCTAGTTCATTAGAAAAGATGTGGATTAGAATTGAAGGTATTCTCTACCTTGGCCTCCCCAGAGGGGCCTCCTGATTTCCTTATTTGTCTTTAAATACAGAAGCATTTGAGACCACACCAGCAATGGGAAGAGATGGTTTCTGCATCTGCCTGAAGTGCCCTTTTGGGTTATGAAGCACATTTTACTGGTGATGTCATGCCTGGCACTCTGCTAGGCATGGCAAAGTATCAGTTTTTCAAATAGAGTGTCAGGGACTTTGCAGGAGCAAAACACATGAAGAAAGAGCAAAAATTAGTGATAGCTGAGAAAGCCTAGAGAACTAGATTTTAAATAGCTGCAGTTATCTTCCACTGAAAAAAAGAAGATGAGAAGGTAACTCAACATGTGTAAGATATAATACTAGCTACCTAAGAAAATTTGTTCATTCATTAGCATATGTAAGTTCCCACAATAGTAAATCTGTAAGAAATTTAAGGGTAGGGGAGCAAGTACTTAGAGGAAGGTGACTTGCTGAAGGTGTTAGGTAGCAAATATTAAAACCTCTCTGCTACACCAAAGAGGCAGAACAGCAAACTATTTAAAAGCATAGTTCAGAGAAAGATTGCTTGGGCTTGAATTCAGTTTCTGCCTCTTAGGACTGTGTCATCTTGGGCAAGTCATTTAACCCCTCTGTGCCTCTGTTCTCATTCATTTCATACAGTTGTTCTGAGGATTAAATTCTGTGGTACATAAAAAGAAAAAATCTTTCTTGGGATAATAAAAAGTTATGATAAATAATATAGTTATATTATTATTAATACCATTAGAACAGAAAACCACTCCTATTTTTTATATGATATCAAGTTCAATGTTTCTACAATGCTAATCCAGAAAAGAGGAGAGAGAACAAAAGATTATAGTCAATTGAAAATGCTATATCTTGATGAATATTCTTCGTATAACTTTTCTGTTGCTTTAACTATCATCAATTAAAGTTAAGTAGAAGTCTATTTATGCTCCTGATATAAAGAATTTGCCTTTAATGGAAAATATCTATTTCATTCTAAGTATGAAACCCATTGACCCTGGTTTGAGTATTCTCCCCAGAAGCTCCACTCTATGCTGAGCACAGAATAAAGACGTAGATTGGAGTAAATTTATTTCAGATATTATAGATTGGAGGCATAGCAATGTGTGAAAACAGACCATGAAAAATGCAACCTCAACTTTCCCCTTGAACCCACGGTAATTTATCTCAGAAACATTGTCAAGTTCCCTGAACTGTAAGGTAAGTAACTTGCTTCAAGCTGCTTTAAATCTTCTGTTGGGAATGATCTGTTGCTGTGCCTTGTACTCTTGGTACTGTGCTCCACAGCTTGGAATTTTGAACATTTCTCAGCATGCTTCAGGGAGACCAGGATCTGAAATCCAGGGTGCCTAGGTGAAATTCCTCCCTCATAGATGAAGTAAGACATTAAAAGTAGGGTAGAATGCCTCCTTTTAGGAAAATCAGCCTTAGAGGTATCCAAATAGAGGGGGAAACCCACTTATTCACTCATATAAACAGCATTTTGAGTGCTTTCTTTATTCATGTATGCTATGTATTATCATTGGGTACCACTTTATAGCATGCCCTGTTCTAGGCACTGAAGATACAGCAGAGAACACAGTGAAATAGTTCTGCTCAGGAGCTGACCCCCTTTATGTTGCACACTGTGCTGAGTATACCCAGATAAATGACACCCAGCCCTTCCCCATAAGGTGTTCTGAATAAAGAGGAAAGAGAAACAAAAATGGCAAGAACACTTGGTGTGATTGGGGGTGTGGGGATACTGTGATCTCTGAAGGTCAGAGAGGGTTTCCAGAAAATGTCTTCCAGGTTGAGTCCTGAACTGCAAATGGGGGTTAAGCCAGTGGTCTTTCCAGGTAGAGAAGACAGCTTTTATATTTTATCCTAGGACAATTGGAAGCAAGTGATGGATATTAACCAAACAATGACATGAACATTTTTCTATTGCAATATAGAGAATGAATGGGGATACAGAGCATAGACTGGCAGCAGAAGCCCCTATAGGGAAACCATTGCAGGAATAAACAGATGAGTGGTGAGGTGGTCTCAATAAAGACAATGATCATGGGACTGGAAAGAATTGGGCAGATTTGAGAAGTGATTGCCTGGTAGTGGGTGGTGAAGGAGAGGGTGGAATAATAGTTGACTCTCAGGTTTCTAGCGTGGGAAACTGCATGGAAGATGATGTCATTAAGAGACGGAGGTGGAGAAGCAAATTCAGGATGAGGAACCATATTAGCTCAGGTTTGAACATATTAGATTTGTAGTGTCTGGGAGACATCTAAGTGGAGACATTCAGTAGGCAATTGAATGATCCGGAATGAGCTATGGGCTGAAGGTATTTGCATAGAGATGGTCAAATCACGGAGCAGGGGAAGGATCCTGGAAAGCACTGGCACTGAAGAGAGAAGACTGAGCAGGAAGGATAGAAAGCCAGGAGAAAAATCAGGTGTGTATGGATTCACAGAAAAGAAAGGGAGAGAACAGTCTGAGAAGGATAAGGTAGTCAAGGTCAAATACTGATAGAGGTCACCCTCACTGGGGACAGAATTTGTCCATTGCATATAGCAACAAAATTTCATTCACAAGTAGGGTGACCATCTGTCAGGATTTGCTTTGAAGTGTCCCAGTTTATGCTTGTTGTTCCAGTATCATTATTATTAGCACCCTTTAGTGCTTATATTTGGATAATAAATCATACTGTTGTCATTGGTTGGTGAGAGCAGTTTCAGCAGCATGTCAAAGATAGATAGCAGTAGGTGTGGGGATGAATTGGAGGAGGAAGACATCAAATGAGGCAGCTTTATGAAGGGATATGCTGAGACTATTGGAGAAGGAATTTTCACATCAGATTGCATTGAACTTGAAGTTTCCTCCAATCTTGTGAATAGTTCATAGCACTATTTTCCTTTTCCGTTATCAGTCCTTAAAATCAGTGAGCATCAGGACTCTGTTTTTCTTGATTCACATACCACACAGCTAGATGTTACTATGTCACAAAGCAAATATTTGATAAATTCATTTCTATTTTTATATTATCTTGAAAATGAATAGCAGCTACATGAAGTGTCCTTCCTCTCCTCCATATCCTAAAACAGAAATGTCTAGTTTGGAACTAAGCAGGAGACTCATTTTGTCTTTTTGTGTGTGTGTGTGATGTTGGGGGTTGAATCCAGGGCCTCCCACGTGCTGGGCATGGATTATATCACTGAGCTATATCCCTGGCTCTCATTTTGTCTTTTGAATTATTTTGTATGATGAAGCATTTTCAATAATAATTAGGCTGGAAGTAAATATTTTGTCTCTTACTATAGATATTGTTGACCTAGGAAATCTAGAAATAAATACATGCCTCCCAGTTTATTTATACCTAGTATGTCTTTGATTTTTGGAACTTGTAGTATAGACCAAACAGATGTCTATGAGAGTTTAAGCATTTATACTTAAAATGAGAAAGATGCGAATAATATTGAAAACATTCAATGATTATCGTACATAAAATGGTATCTCAGGGAAATAGAAAAGTCATGTAAAATGCAATTATTTTTGAACTTGTGTGGCTATTGAGTTAGGTGGAGAGCCAATCAAGAGTTTTAATTCCCTTTGCCCTCGTTCCAGAAGGGTGGCAAATACAAATAATAAGCCCTGGGTAAATGTCCATAAGTGAACCTTTTTTCTCAGTGCTTATTTAATTTGATTATTGAAGGTCAAGCTCCCAGCCCTAAGCCTGCCCCACCTCCTCAACTGTTGGGAGACTCCTTTGAGTAATTAAGCACCTGTGAGGCTTAGGTTAGGGTGACCTTTAATAGTCCCTTTTTATTATTAAGATGCAATGGCTGTCTTTTAAAAGGCAGGGGAGGGGATATTTCAGTGAGAGAGGCTTCTGTTTGAGAAAAGAGGCTAATGGAAAATAATAAATTGCACAACACTCATAATTTGTCTGCCACATCTAGCCTATGAATAGCCTCATAAAGCATGCTGTGACAGAGAGGGATCTTTCTCTCCCTTTATTGTTTCTCAGAGTCATTAATAAAAGAGCCCATTATTGATAATCTGACCACACACTATTATGTTAACTAGTCAATGTAACTAAAAAAATCCTCAAACATATTTCAAATATTTGAATATCAAGCATTCCAGTTATCAATATTGAGGCCCAGTCCCCCATGTAAAGGATTATCTACCATTTGTTCTTTGGAGGCCTACTAATCAGACACACAAGAGCATACACTGCTTCTCTATCTAGGTTCTGATTAATTTGCCATACTTTCTTTGTATCATCTCTATTTTGTTTCTCTTGTGTGCATTTGTTTTTCAGTAAGCAATGGCTTCGGTTTTGCTTCTCTTTGGGATGGTCACCACATCATAGGGCCTGAATGTCCGACGACTTTCTGGGAGCAGAAAGAAGATCCTGTAATTGTCTGTTTCAGTGGCAGTCTGGTGGTAAGAAGATTATTGAATGAGCCACGGTGTCAGCACATCATCAGGTGAATGGGACCAGTCTCTCTTCTTCCAAAATATCAGAAATTAAGCACTTGGAAAGGAGATTTGAACAAGATGACCCATTTGCAGGCTGGACTCAGTCCAGAGACTATAGAGAAAGCACGCTTGGAACTGAATGAAAACCCAGATGTTTTACACCAGGATATTCAGCAAGTCAGGGACATGATCATCACTAGGCCTGACATTGGATTTTTACGTACAGATGACGCCTTCATCCTGAGATTTCTCCGAGCCAGGAAGTTTCACCAAGCCGATGCCTTTAGACTCCTGGCCCAGTACTTCCAGTACCGCCAACTAAACCTGGACATGTTCAAAAACTTCAAGGCAGATGATCCTGGCATTAAGAGGGCCCTGATTGATGGATTCCCTGGAGTGTTGGAAAACCGCGACCACTACGGGAGGAAGATTCTTCTGCTGTTTGCTGCCAATTGGGATCAGAGTAGGTAAATGTAGATAGTGTCTTTACTTAGTTTTTCTTTTCCATGGCATTTTCACTGCATGTATGGGGTTATATGGCTTTATAAGTAAAGGGCTTTAATTTTAAAAAATATATTCCACACACCCACATAGAAAGTTTTAAGGCCACAGGTATGCTGTCATCAAAAGGCAAGTCCAGATTTCCAGTGGTGTTTTGGAACAATAGAATCATAGCATTGGACTTGTAAGAGACTTATAAGTCATTATAATTCTTATTAAAGTGGGTCATTTATTTTAATAAAACTGAAAGTGATCTTCTGAAAGACCTATATATTATCTTTAGTGTTTTTTTTTTTTCTGTAACAGAAATGTAACAAAAAATGGATTCAGTGGGTGACCTTAAGTCAAGTGTTTTTAATACCTAAAATAATGATTCTTGGATCCTTTCCATGACTTTGATATTCTCTATTTGTCCCGAGTGCTTGATCTTTGTATCCAAATACACTAGATATTTCTCTCTGAAAGTCCTATAAAGAACTCCAAACTCTTCATGCCCCAGACTGAAAGCACTATCGTCTTCTCCTCTATACCTGTTCTTCCAGTCTCTCAAGCCAGAAATTCTTGATTGACCTTTGTTCCCAAGTTCTACCCCTTGCTTTGAAAAAATCTCTCAAGTCTCTTTACTTCTCTTTGATCCCATCACTATAGCCTTAGTTTAGCATCTCATCATTTCTCACTTACATTACTGCAACACTCTGGTCTCTTCTGAACATCCTGCCTCTGGTCTCTTCTGAGCCATTCTAGTTTGCACTGTAGCCAGGATAATCCTTCCAAAATTCTGTAATGTCACTGCCCTGATTAAAGTTCTTCAATGACCTTCAAAGCTTTCAAAGTAAATTAATTCCCTTTATAATCCACCTTCTACATTCTCTACTCTATGTTTACCCTCTGCCCTTCTGTTCTGTGGTCCAAATGGTTGGAAGTATAAACTTTGCCCTGACCAGTTGTGATTTTTGACATATCTCTAATCCTTTGGATTTGCTCCACCACACACCTAAAGGAGAGACCTATCATCCCCATCCCAACTCCACCCTCCTGGACTCACTCTGCCTAATAATTCATACCTATCCTTATATCTTCAGGCAAATAGTTTTCATTTACTCCACCTCAACCCTATTTTAGTCAGATGAATAACCTCTGCTCATATTTCTATTAAAGCATTCATAATAGGAGCATAAGAATCACATCACTGTTGTCACAGATAATTTTGAACACTTACCACATATTCTGCTAAGCAAATGCTTATATTGCAATATATTGCTCATACTGCAAATGTTTAGAATGCAAATATATGTTTATCTATCTATCTATCTATCTATCTATCTATCTATCTATCTGTATATGCATATATAAAACTTAATACACCCAAGACTTAACATAAAAGGTAGTATTACTCTTCTTCAATTCTATATTTGATGATAATTTAATGTCATGTAGTTAGTGAAACATGGGGTGGGATTGAGCCCCAATGGTCTGACTCAAGAGCCAGTTACCTTAACCTGCCTTATTGTAAATGAGTTTACCTTGTGCATTCTTACCCTTTCTTCCCAAGGCTGCAAGTTCTTAAGGGCAGGAGACTATGTGTTTGCATGTTTACTTGGCTAGCATATGGCACAATATTCAATTAATGTTGAATGAGAAAAAAAAAATGAATGAATCCATCTCCAAAATATCAACTGTGGCTTGAACTTTCACAGGAATATCTTCATTGAAATTTTTATGTTTTGGGGGAAGACACAGGTTTAACTTTAAAAATATATCAAAACACCTTTTAATACCATTAAAAGGAATTTCTAGGGTACTTCTTCACTGCCCCACATTACTTCCTCCTCCTCTTAAAATTAACAGTAGTGTAGGGTTGGGGTAGCACCCACTATCCCTGGAAAGGCATTTGAATGATTTAATACTGTCTAGAGTTTGGTCAGGTCTGTACTTGGGCCAATAATGATAATATAGAATAATGTCATATTATAATATGTTGTGTCATAGCTAACATAATTAATGATGTGTGTTTCATTACTTTGTTCCAATGATGAGAAAGATTTCTGGGTTCTTATATTCATCCATCTGTATCATTCAATCAAGAAACATTTGAGGAACACAGAATTTGTGCTAGGGCTTGTATAATGCAAATGACAAGAAGACTTGGTCTCTGTTGGTGAAAATCCCATGGGGTAGCTCACTGTCCAGCAATGGTACAAACATAAGAACATCTAGCCCCTGTCTACCACAGGACAGCTCCTTCTGAGAAACAAAAACCACCAACATAGGACATCAGTGTTAAACTAGAGGGAGCGGTTGTCCTCCTAGAATGGCACATTAACATTTGGGATTTTGAAACAGGAACGTTGTGATGATTCTGGAGAATAATCCATGCTGACATCATTTGTGCTAAGTGTTGTTAGTGTTCTAGAACTTCCATCTGCTAAGACAGACGATACAGAGAACACCAGTCAGTCGTGGTGCTGTACATATGAAGAAATGAATTATAGTAAGATATTTTATTTTGTATTAGAATTTGTTGTGTATATATCCCAAAATGTGTTGTAAAGAAGTGAGAAGTAACACATCTCTGAGGAAATAATCCAAATGTTTATGATTATGATAACCTTGAACGAGTCACTTTTCTGTTCCTTGATTTCCTCATGTGTAAAATAAGAAGCTTGAACTATATAATCCCTGAGAAACCTCTAGCTCTAATGACTCATGAATGTGAAGCTCATTCAGCTTCATCCGATAGAGGAGAAGGGATTTTAAAAAATCACTTTATAGGCTCTTAATTCACTAGACTTTTTAAAGTAACATTTCTGTTACCCTCTCCCTCCCCCATCTCTCCCTCTCATGTTTTCCTTTCTGCCAACCCACACATAAAAGTATTTGTTGTAAACCATTTGCTTTTAACAAGGTAGTAATGATAAGGCTATTCCATTGATAGTCAAAAAACATTGGATGCAAGCAAACTTTATTTTGATATGGATATTATCATGTCACTTACTTATCATCTGACCTTGGACAGGCAACCTCTCTGAGACTTGGTTTTCTTTCCTGTAAAGTAGGGATGATAAGATATCTATGTGTGGTTGGGAAAATTGAATGAAATAATGCATTACAATCTATATTTTGGCACACAGTAAGTACTCAATAAGCATTAGCTTCTAGAATGATTACTAATATTTAAAAATATCCCACTACCAAAGTAGTAGAGTACAGATGGCAAATAAATTAGAACCCAAGGCAAGAGTACAATGCTGGAAATTGGAGTAGGGTGGAGCGCTGTGTGCCCACACGCACATCCTGAGCACCTGCTCTCTCCCAAATGAGTTTCCTGTCACACAGACCCAGTCCAAATGCAGCTCAAAGGCTTGGAGGAGTTAGCACAGCTTTGCAAAGTGCCTGCATCACCATTATTGGGGGCCTCAGATAAGCAGTAACAAAATGCCTCATGTGAAAAGTTTAGTGAGATTAAAATGATTATTAATATGATTAATTTGACATTAATCTCCTTCATCTAAACCTGGACACATGAACAAAGTGCAGAACTGTGAGGGATGGGAAGCTCTGTTCTCTAAAGCCATCTTTAGGGCTCTGGCTATTGAGGTTAGCTGTGACAACTGAGGCACAGATTGCCCTTGGGCTACCTGAGTACAACTGGCCTTGTCCTAAAATTGAGCCTCAGCAGGAAACTGTCTGGATTCTGTATTTTCTGAGGCCCCTGAGATGAACTGAAAAGCATCAGATGAAATGAGAACCACATATTCATTCATAAAAGGAATGTGGCCCTCTGAGAGTCGGCAATTTACTTTCTAGCTCACCAGCGTGGCATGGAGTGAGGACCAAAGTGGACACTATTGCTCAATGAGTCCTCTGATCTTTCTCACCTAAACTCATATCAGCACTGGCAAGAATTCATAATTTGCCCCTGTAAGATCCAATCAAGAATAAATCAATTTTTTGCTTCTTTCTGAGCTATAGATGTGCCCCTGATCATATGGCCTGGTTTGCCACAAATGCCCTGGTACTTCAGAAGGAAATATGATCATAGGTCTATTTTTTTCTGGATTTCATTTAGTCAAAAAAGAGTTATACTTGGTCAAGGTTTTTTCTTTTTTAAACATTTTAGAATCTCAATTTATCAAACGGAAGTGGGTAAGATATCAAGCTTACTGGGCTATTGCAAGGATTAATTCCAATTGCCCTACTTGGTAGTGTCCAAGAAGCAGAATAAAGTGTGATTAAGTGCACAAACTCTGAAGCCAGATGGCCATTTTTAAATCCCAGCTGCCTCCTACCAGTCACATGCCAGAGTATGTTGCTCAAATCCTCATTACCCTCAGTTTCTCACCTACAAAGTGGGGGTGACTATGATCCTAGATTAACACTACTTGATGCTCAATAAATGGTAATTGTTTCTTAAAAATAATAAATAAAACCAGGCAAATACCTAGGATACTGGATCATAAGATATACTTCCTAAATTTGATGGCATTACCAAATTTCTTCCACATTTAAAAAATACCACTGAGACCTCAAGCTACCTTGCTGCAGAGTCTTATTTGATAGTTCAGTTGTGGCTGGGAGGCCACCTAGTGTTAGTACCCCCAACTATTGTTCATTTTATCCTCAGGTTATAAGAAAAGCATTTGGAGGGATCCAGATAATGAAAGTCCTATAATATACTATGATACTATCCATTAGTGCTATATGTAGACTAGCTGGGTGCCCAAGTACTTACATAGAGAAAACACAATTAGAAATGCATTATAAGTTATAATATGTAGAGTTAATGTTGCACATTCTTTGGTCAGGATATTATTTCTCATAATTAAATACTCGGAAATCAGCAAGCTGGTTGAAAACTAGTTTAAAAATTGGTTCAAGTTAAAAGAAGGAAAAATTTATTTTGGAATATGGTTTTGAGATTTAGTACATGATTGGCTGGCTCCATTGGTTTTAGGCCTATGGTGAG